TGTTTGTGCTGATGTTCACGCATGAACACATCAACATTGAAACAGATCAGCAGCAACATGAAACAGATCAGCAGCAACATGATATGGTTTTTCACAGTGATTATTCTAGTTAGAGATTCATGAGTCTAACAGCCTCAGGGTAGAAGCTGTTCCTCAGTCTAGTGGTTCTACACTTAATGCTCCTTAACCTCCTTCCTGAGGGGAGTGGGGCAAAAAGTGTGTGTGCTGGGTGGGTGGGGTCCTTCATGATGCAGGTGGCCCTCTTCCTGCATCTGGAGGTGTAGATGTCTGTGATGGTGGGGAGACTGATTCCAACAGATTTCTGTGCAGCCTTCACCACTCTCTGCAAAGCTTTTCTTTCTGCAGCTGTGCAGCCTCCATGCCACACATTGATGCTCGAGCACAGGATGCTCTCCACTGCACACCTGTAGAAGGAGGTGAGGACTGAGCTTCCCAGACCAGCTCGCCTCAGCCGTCTGAGGAAGTAGAGTCTCTGATGAGCTTTCTTGATCAGGCTGGTGGTGTTGTTGCTCCAGCTGAGGTTGTCATTCATGTGTACACCCAAGTACTTGTAGCTGGAGACCACTTCCACCGCAGATCCTCTTATGTTCAGGGGGGTGTAGGTGTTTTTGTTCCTTCTGAAGTCCACAATCATCTCCTTTGTCTTCTTCACATTGATGTGAAGGTTATTCTCTCTGCACCAGCTCTCCAGGTGTTCCACCTCTTGCCTGTAGGGTGAGGGTCTGTGACATGTATTACCTACAGACAATCAGCGGAAGAATTTCAACAGTGAATGTTGGAAGTTTTTTAGATGAGTGTTTTTGTAGACTAAACCTAAACAAGGAATGCAAGTAAACCTTAATGTCTTTGGTACAATATTTTCAGGTGGATTGGAGTTACACTGTGGAGAAGAACAGAGGAAGTTTGTTTTTCTCGTCCAAGGCAGCGCAGAGGGACATTCTGGTGAGTGGAGGGAGCAGTTTCATCCACAAGCAGATGCCATGGCAAAGCCAGGGAGTGGCCACTGGAAGACTTGGCCACCACAAATTAATCTTTGGTCACCTCAAAGGCCACCCCAGTCATTTAAGGAAACTAAACCTTTAAGCTTTATAAAACCTAGAAAGAATAATTTCCTCATATGATAGGGGATGTAGTTTATATGACGGTAGCCATTTTGAATTTTGACGTGGCAACCCAGTTTTCAAAAGGAACCTTTCTTACACCTAGATGTAATGACACTCCAAAACGGACGTCGGTACCTCACTTATTTTTCCAAGTTATCATGCTCACAACACGGACTGAGGGATGGTTGATGTTTCCAGATCCCCCTCTTTGCTTCGTGGCACAGGACAGAAATCAGAGGAATGTTGGAGGTGACTCTCAGCTACTACTACACCAAATTTTGGGTGAATATCTGTAGAATTTATTCAATTTTAGCTGTTTTTGGACACTTAGCTGTGGCAGTCATTTTGCACAGTGTTGACTCCAAACATTAATGAACTGTAGGTGTAAAGAATTTTCTATTCCAATCCATTCAGTGATTCAGGAGATTTTTTGCTAAATGTACAGACCAAGGAACACACACACAGGCAAAACACATTATTGCTCTGTCTTCCATGTTTGGCAATGGGCAATAAAAAAAGAGTTTTATTAAAACCAGCAGCCATGAAAATTGCAGAGCTGCAGTGAGTCACAGACCAGCATGAAGCTCAGTGACGAACGCATCGCAAGTGTTGAGGTAAAGAGCTCCATCTGTCCTGTCTGACACACAAACTCACCGAGGAACTTTAGTTTTTAAAAGGTTTGAGCCAAAAACAAACAAACAGTTCAGCAGAGGATCATGAGTTTCAAAGTGTCTTTTTAAATTGGCAACTCGGTCTAAGTTGCATCAGCTGACTATTTAAAACAACAAGCTGATTTTCTCAAATTATTTCTCATAAACTGTAAAGATGCATTTATACCTTTGAATTACAGCCTTAATTTCAAAGGACAGTTTGGGATACTGTAACTAAAAATGTCACAAATAGGGCGGCTGTGGCTGAGTGGTTAGAGCAGTTGTCCTCCAATGCAAGAGTTGGGGGTCCGAATCCAC